GTGTGTGTCGTCGTCCTCTCTCTCTCTCTCTCTCTCTCTCTCTCTCTCTCTCTCTCTCTCTCTCTCTCTCTCTCTCTGTTTTGTGTTAAATAGTGAATAACTTACTTTTGCATGCAACTAATCTGAAACTTCATTCAAATTGAAGGTCGAGGCAAAGAAGTAACTACTCCTTAATTGAATTTTCAAAATATTTAGTTCCGCATCAAGGATCAAATATATGCCGGATGAATCAATTGCTCTATTGGGGACTTCATGCAATGGCCTCCGAGCTTCATGAATTTTGGTGGAAAAAATGTTACAGAGTATATCCACTTATACAATCTCTAAGCAGATAAACTCGATGAGGACAGAGCAAAATTGGTGTCAATTAATTCCCCAATTTGTATCAAAAAATCCCAATAAGTAGATCAGTAACATAGAGAGACCCTTGCATCACCCCCAAATGAAGGTTTCCAAGCAGAAGCAACAAATTCTCATGGAAGATCCATCAAGGATCCACCGAAAGAAGCATCCGTCATCTCGGATCATATCAAATTAGCAAGAGTCCTAATCAAATAACTCACAATTAATAAACCCCAACTTCATTATACACTCTAATCAACAAATTCTGGACTCCACCCACAATAAAAGCATAAAAACACACTAGTTTCAAACCCATACCGAATTCATCAAATTCATACTAAATCTCAGCCAAAATTTGGCTACAGACAGGAAAGAGGAAGAGAGAAAAAGAGAGAGCGATCAATTAATACAGACCAGAGAGAGATGAAAGCAGTATAGAATAGAAGCTTGCCTGCCCAGACCGAATAGGCTCATGGCGTGGCCGAACTGGAAGAGGTTAATGACCGAATCCTCCTCTCACAGTGAAAGACCCCCCACTCTTATATATGCACAGACAGAGAGAGAGAGAGAGAGAGGAGAGAGTTCTTCTGAATTCTCAATGTATTCTTGACTTCTTGCATTTTATAGTGCCCGAAACAAAAGCGGGTATCGCCATCAGAGCCCGTTTAAGCCATCCAGCCAGCCGAAAGTTTCACGGGCAGTTTTTAGAGAGAGAGAAAGATTTTAGAGAGAGAGAAAGAGGATTCGAGCTCCTCTGTGAACTTTTCCCATAAATTTTGGGTTAAGTTTTAAATAAAAATTCAGGAATCAAGACTCCTCATTTCCCTCTTTTCCAAGATTGATAACTCCGTAACTTTCCGCGGACGGTTTGTCACGCAAGACAGAGAGTGGAAAGTCTAGAGAGAGAGAGAGAGAGAGGAGCTAGGCGTGGGAAGTCTAGAGAGAGAAAGAAGGCGCGGGAAGTCTAGAGAGAGAGAGGGGAGCACTGAAAGATTCTTGCTAGAAAGGTCAAAACCCACGTCGGTGGCTGCCAAAATTTTAATGTTCTCGAAAACAAAACGATACATCATTCTCCAATCATTTAGTGACGTTTATCGTACACGAAATACAACGCAGAGGGACCCCATTCGATGTTTGGGAACCCATTTCTACACTTCCCTTTCTAAAAATATCCAGAAAAAAAATGATACGGTTGAAAAAGAAAAAAACATACGGTTACGAGCGAAAGTCCATTATTATTATTATTATTATTTTTTATTTTCTATTTTTTTTTTTTATTTTTTTTTTATTTTATTTTATTTTTTTTTTTTTTTTTAAGTACCATACCTTTGGTACACATGAGCCTAGGATGCAACAATTAAAGCTAGCGAATATAGAGATCTATAATAAGATTATTTACGTTTGGCACAAAAAGGCTACAATTATTATTGACCCTTAAATATAAAATCATCCGGCTGGGGTGTGTGATTGATTTGGGATAAAAATCATAGTTTCTCAACCAAAGTGACGTACACTTAGATGTTGAATTTTTTGTATGATGGTTAAAGATGATTGTGACTTCTTTATACTAAAAATCAATAGTATAACATATAATTTCGTATTCAGACTATAAAATCATTAAACATTGATATATGGAAGTCATTGGTACCCATTGCCATCACACGTGAAATTTAATAGCTTGCCGTGTGTAGCAAAGTTCCAAAAATTCTTTTTAAGACTTTGAGCCACACTAAGTTCCCAATTTCACATCAATTGGTAAAGGTTGATTATGGATTCCTTTCAAAAGCAAATAGTCTTATTATATGATTTCCCATTTTATAAAGGAAAAATATCTCTTAATACTTCATTTTCAACTTTCATTTTTCTATTGACCTAATATTGTAAAACATATCTTACTACATAAAAATTCATTCTATTATATCTCCTAACCCTCTAAACATATTTTATTCATTTTTTATTAATTTTTTTGACTCAAACAAATGTTAAAAAAACATTGTTTTCTATACCCTTTTCTCTCTCTTGACATGATTCCCTTTCTCTTTCCCTCGATCAACCTCCCAAACCCACGCTAACTTTCAAACATGATTCACCCTCGGGTATACTCTGAAGCACAAGCCTCCAGCCCATGTGTTTATCACCATTTGTGTTCTTGAGCTGCTCAATCATCTGATCAACGGACATGCCATGAAGCTCCATTTTTCCCAAGAGGTCATCAAGCCGTTTCTTATTTATTTTTATCTTCACCTCTTTAGAGTCCCCACCATCTTCTCTCTATAACCCATTTTGCTCTCTCTCTCTCTCACTCTCTCTCTCTCTCTCTCTCTATTGAAACCCCAAACTCTCACAAAACTCATTTTGCTTACTCTCACAAAAACCCGAAATACAGCTTCCAAAAGGACCCAAGCTTCCTCATTTTCTCTCTCTACCACAAAAAACGTGATATGTTCCACTCCCAGCTCAAACAAAATTCAAATCTGAAAATCTCTCCCTTTCAGACCGAACCACACCCATTTTAACCTACCATTTTCAACAAGAGGGAAATTCCATCAATAGCTGCTTTTTTGTGTTTCACTCTCAACAACATGGGATTTTTTTTTGTGTTTCTTTCTCTACAAATGCTTTTTCTCTCCGGAAACCTCTGTGATAGGGATGAGGATTAAGAAATGGTGAGGTGAGCTTGTTTTATATATGGAGAGAGAGAGAGAGAGAAGATGGCCGGGAATGATGGGAGAAGGGATTGTTTTTTGTATTTCTCTCTAAAAATGCTTTATCTCTCTAAAAACCTATGTGACAAGGATGAGGATTAAGAAATGGTGAAGTGTGTTTTGTTTTAATATGTGGAGAGAGAGATGGATAGAGAGAAGTGGGCCTGGAATGATGAGAGAAAGGGATTGTTTTTTGTGTTTCTCTCTCTGAAAATGCTTTTTTTCTCTCTAAAAACCTCTGTGACAGGGATGAGGAATACCCCCCAAACCCACGCTAAACGGTTTAGAGTTAGAAAAAAGATATATTTTTCAATTTGTTTGGGTTAAAAGTTGAAATAAATATAGATAAAGTTATTTAGAGGGTTAAAAGATAGGCTTTGAAATTTTAAGTTTAGAAAAAAATGAAAATTGAAAATAGAGTCTATAGAAATATTTTCCTTTTTATAAACAATGATATATAAAAGCACTCGTTAAAGGGGTCACTTGACTAGTTCCAAAAAGAAGCCTTTGGAGGCATAGAAACTCCCCTAATTAGTTCCAGAAATAAGTTTCTTAACAAGATCCCAGGTAAGTTTCAAGATCCTATATCTCCACTCTACTTTAGATCATAGGGCAAGTAAGACACTTGCTAGCAAAGAAAATCATGTCCCTCAATAGACCAAAAAGAAGATCTAAAAAGGTATCACGAAAAAGATAAAGATTAAGGGTCACTTTGGATGTCAAATAAGAAAACCTTTACATTGAAAAAAAATTGCAAAAGTTTTTTTCCTCAATTGATAAATATTGTCATCTTAGTTTATTATATTGGTAGACTATTTGGATGTCTATTAAAATATTATGAGAAAATTTTATTTACTAGATATGTCCCTTTGGATGTTTAGCTATAAATTATGAGTTCGTGCTTCTTTTAGATTTTTCTCATTATGTAAAGTTTAACCAAACATAATATTAACTTTGTCTTTTCATGGGTTTGAAAGAGGAATAATGTGGAAAAGTAAATTATTTCATGGGTATATAAAGGAGAATAAACAAATATTATAGTTAATAAGATAATTTTATACCAATTCTATAACCCATGAACCATGATCCAAGGAAGAAAATCTTAATATATGGCGATAATTATCATCAAAGTATTTTCTTAAGTATTTGGAGTTGGCTACCCGAATTATGATATACCATTCTACTCTATCAAGGTCCATAACCTCAGTGAGACTATAATCCTCATATCTGTTTTCACTACTTTCAACCATGTCAGTTTAGCTCCACACCTTGTCCTTTTTTAGCCTTCCACTTGAACCAACCCACACTTCCTGACAAGTGTTGTATTGAGAGTGCGCTGTACATGGCCTGCCCATCTAAGTCTACCTTTTCTCATCTTATCGTCTTTTGAAGCCACACCTAAGTTGTTCCAAATGTATTAATTTCAAATTCTATCCATTTTTGTCTTGTCAATCATCTATCCTAACATCTTCATCTCAGCAAGACTCATCCTATGGATATGTTGTTTATTGACTACCCAACATTCTGCCCCTTAGAGCTAAATTGATCTCACCGTTGTCCTATAACTTCCCCTTCAGCTTCATTGATATATAGAGGTTACATAAAATTCAAATTGTACATTTCCACTTCGTCCGCCCAGCTCTAGTTCTATGTGCGACATCTTCTTCAATCTCTCTATTTTTCTGGATTATTGACCCAAGATATCAAAAGTGCTGTTTTTTGGTGTTTATTATCTATAAATCTTAACTACCTCATCGTCTCTACTCATGCTATTACTAAAGTTGCATTCCATGTACTTTGTCTTAGTCTGGCTATTTTAAGACCGTTAGATTTGATACCATCCCTCTAAAATTCTGACTTTGTGCTGACGCGCTTTGGTTCTATTATATAAAGTGCAAGTAATGACTATAATTTTAGAAGGATGCTATAAAATCTAAATATCTTTTAAGAGAGGGAGCCATTTTTCAATGCACCAAAGGAGCGTTTAATAACATTTCAAAGAGATGAAAGCCAAGGGTTGAAGAGCTCCTTTGCATTGGGCTAAGATTGCCTGACCATAAGACTTTAAATGATACCTCACCACCTTGAACAGAGCTATGAAATTTGCGTTCGCATAACCAATATCGGCAAGATAATATTTATCTAAATGCATATAAATTACAAATTTTCAATTACAGCTACAACTGAATACTGTAGAAGCGCTACCTTTTGTATAATTTCAGCTAAAATTGCAACATGGTTCAATGAGAAAAAAAATCATACCCCCATCAACAGATACAATTGCAAACCCATTAACAAAGCTGCAAAACCACAAAGCAAATGAAGAAGATATAGAACCCCCAAAGCAAACAACAGAATAAAAAAGAGATACATGCGGTGGTGGTGGTCCATTGCAAGAGATTAAGAAATATGCCCCAACGCGTTTATTGAAGATTGATGTTTTGGTAACAATCAAAGGAAAAAAAATGTCATTAAACCTAAGTCTTGATAGGTTTTGCTGGTCTTTGTTGTTAGATCATGATTCAATCTTAAGGAGATCATTTGCATTATTTTTAAAATTAAATTTCATTTTTGACTCAACACAAACTTTAGAGAATTCTCCGTTGTTCGCAAAACAGAGAAAAGGCATTAGTTTACATGATTTTTAAACATTATATCATGAGATATTTGCATCTTAGTCCAACATTACATGATCATATATTTTTTGACATTGGTTTATGAGTTGATTGATCAGTTTGAAATAAAATTTGATGCAAATCACATCCAAGATTTTATTTTTTTTTAAATTGATTTTTGGGGATGTGGGTAGACTTTTTATCTTTATTTGGGGTTACTTTTAGGAATTATTGAATTGGGGTTATAAATGAATTTTTATTCGTTACTTTGGGTAAAGGTCGTGATTGGTAACATTTTTTTACTTTTAAGGATTAATGTGGGGTTCTTGGCTTGTTGAGAATAACTTGAGGGTCGGTCACGTTGGAATCTTGGGATTGGATTAGGGAAGTGGGTTTTATATTTGAGGGAATTGATGGTGTATCATATTTA